TCTATTCTGATTTTGTATACTCAATTCTTTTTATAAATATTTATTTTCATAAATTTAAAAGGCACAGTGACACAGAGGGAGTGAGAGGGCTAGGCCAGCTTGAAGCTAGGATCCTGGAATTCTCTCTGAGTCTCCCAAGTTGGTGGGTGGGGCCCAAGCACTTGAGCCATTGTTTTTTGTTTCCCAGTATGTGCTGCAGGAAGCTGGATCCGAAACAGAGTAGCTGCACTGGAACTGGCATTCTAATGTGAGGTGTGGACATCTCAGACAGTGGCTTGACCTTCTGTGCCACAGTGTTCTTTGTACTCAGTTTCTGTCATACAGTCCTCAAATTTTTCAATTTCAGCCAGTCAACTTCCTTTCATAAGTATCTCACTTTAACATTGTCGTATCTTTGGACTTGCTGATTTCTTTTGCCTGTGATGCCAATAATATGGCTACATTAATAATTTTTATTTTCATGAAGAGCATTGACTCAAATCTAGGATATTTTTGGTTTTGGGCTTGATGATCTTGCACCTTGATCAGTTAGCCTTGATGTAGAATCTTACTTCTTTGGCCTGTTCCATTCTGTAGGCATTGAAACTCCACTTTGCCTTTTAAGAAAACTTTTCCTAATCTATTCCAGATAACAGCAAAAAGTCATCCTTTCTTTGTTTTTCTTTCTCCTTTTTTTTAAAATATTTTTTTGAAAAACAGCAACAGATAAGGAGAGAGAAGTCTTCCATCCACTGGCTTACTCCCCAAATGGCCACAACGGCCCAGTAGGCTGAGGCAAGGATCTAGGAACTCCATCCTTGTCTTCCATGTGGGTGGCAGGGGCCAACCACTTGGTCCTTCAACATGTGGCTTTCCAGGTGCATTAGCAGAGTGCTAGAATGGAAGCAGAGCAGCTGGGATTGCAGTTGTACTGTGATACAGGATGCTGATGACTTAATAAGCATTGGCTTACCCTGCTGCCCCACAGTGCCAGCCCTTCTTCATTGCTTTACTTTTAGAAAATTTAACAGATTTTTATTGCATTTGGCTACCTGATTTATCTGTCCTACTAAACTCTTTGAGTTCTTTGGAGAAGGAAACCCGATTTAGAGGTTTTAAATTTTTGTCCTTTCTCTCTGTCATTTATGGGTGCTCACTAAGTGTACAGGGATTTTAATTGTTCAATTCTTCTTACAACCTTCTGGTTCTAAAGACCAAGGAAAATTGGACTCACTGTCCTGCCGGCAGCTAACCGTATCTGGCTGGGAAATGGGTAAAAAGTTTAAAAGGAGACCAAAGGTTTGGAGGGAAAGGCAGGAGGAAATGAGAAGTACCTTATATCTGTCTCAGTAACTTATAGGTTTAATCCTGCTTTGTCTACTGTGGTAGCTTCTAGCCATATGTGGCTGAATTTAAGGTAATTAAAATAAAAATTCATTTCATCACTTGTACTAACCACATATGAAACACCAGTAGGCTCTTGTGGCCTGTTGCTAGTGGGCAGCTCTTTCTTACATAGGGCATTGCTATAATTGAAACTTTTAGTCTTTAGTTCCAATAATCATCCTTTGTAGTCTTTTCTTAATTTCAAGATTTTTAAAGTAGAATGCAAAGTTAATATTCAATCTGAGGCCAGCGCCGCGGCTCACTAGGCTAATCCTCTGCCTTGCGGCGCCAGCACACTGGGTTCTAGTCCCGGTCGGGGCGCCGGATTCTGTCCCGGTTGCCCCTCTTCCAGGCCAGCTCTCTGCTGTGGCCAGGGAGTGCAGTGGAGGATGGCCCAAGTGCTTGGGCCCTGCACCCCATGGGAGACCAGGAGAAGCACCTGGCTCTTGCCATCGGATCAGCGCGGTGCGCCAGCCGCAGCGTGCCAGCCGCGGCGGCCATTGGAGGGTGAACCAACAGCAAAGGAAGACCTTTCTCTCTGTCTCTCTCTCTCTCAACTGTCCACTCTGCCTGTCCCAAAAAAAAAAAAAAAAAATTCAACCTGATACACAGGATTTCAAAGGAATTTTTCACATGTCTAACATGTCTAATAATTTTCTTCTGTGCCCTTAGACCCCTGGTTCTAGCTACTTCTGCTGTTGAAGATCAGTTAGTAGGGATAGATGTATGGCACAGCAAAGACACTTCTTAGGATGCTGGCATTCAGTACCACAGTGCACTGATTTGAGTCCTAAGTCTAGTTCCCATCTGGCTGCCTGCTACTGTGGACTCTGGGAGGAAGCAGTTGATGGCTCAAGCAGTTGGTTGGGTCTGTGCCACCCATGTGGGAAACTTGGATTGAGTTATGGGCTCTCGGCTTTGGCCTGACCTAGGCCCAGCTGTTGTGGACATTTGGGGAATGAACCAGTAGATTGAAGATCTTTCTCTCTTTCAAATTAAGAATAAAAGAATTAGTTAATAGAAAATTTGAGAAATTTGATCTTAGTAAAATACAGTAAAATCTTAATGAAAGAGTTTTACTTTCTCATTGTGTAGTGATAATTTTTGGCATCCTAGAAGCAAATCTTATTTTTCAGTATGCTAGGAGGCTTCATTATGTCATTTTAAATTTACTTATATACAATGTCATTTCCATTGGTAGTGAATAGCTGATCCCAAATCTCTTAGCTAAAGCGTCTTTAAAAAATAATGAAATGAAAACCATGACTTAGACAAAGTATTCTGGATTTTTTTTTATTGGTGGGCTGAGTGCAGGATATAGAAAATGGTATTATAAAAACTTACTGATTTATTGTGTGTCCATGATATGCATGTGGTGGTAGTTAAGCTGGGTGCAAAATAACATCACAGAAAAGTAACCAGAGTTTCGAAGTGGAGAACTGGAGTGGCCTATACAATCATAAAGCTTTTTGGCTGCCTTTACAATGCAGCTGAAAAATTTGAAATTTATTACAGTTTGTGAGTATATCAGGACAAAACACTAGATGTCAGTGTTGTAGTTTTGACATTCTATCAGGAACTAGTAGAGTATTTTCTGCTTTTAATCACTCACATTGACACAAACTTCTAAATTATATCTTAATTCTTTACATTTAGATAAATATTTATTAAAAGAAACACTTTTCCTGAGAATTGTTTTGTTATTACTGTCTGCGTAGTACTACTGACTCTCAGGAACAAAAATGTTTTCAACATAATTTACAGGGAACACTGGTCCTGGGAGGTGCTTCTCTGGGAAAAATGTGGCCCTGGAATTTGGTATAGAGTAGATACACCCACTGTCATAGAACTGATAAAAGTGCTTTCAGCTTTTTATTTTTTTTTTTTTTTGACAAAATTTAGATGTGCACCTCTCTCTCTCTCTCTCTCTCTCTCTCTCTCTCTGTTTCTCTCTCTGTGTGTATGTGTGTATACTTACATTTATATATTTGTATATATAGTGGACAATCCTATAATTTTTATGTATGCCTTATATTTGTTTATCAAAGCCTGTAATTACATGTTTTCACATGTCTTAAAGTAACTTAGTATATAGAAGAGAGCTTGAAATTAAATATGTGACATGGACCAGTGTTGGGGCACATTGGGTTAAGCCACTGCCTGGCACACTGCCAGTCCTATATGGGTGCCAGTTTTGAGTCCCTGCTGCACCTCTTCTGATCCAGTTCCCTACTAATGTGCCTGGGAAAACAGTGGAAGATGGCCCAAATGTTTGACCCTTGCCCCTACATGGGAGGCCCAGATGAGGCTACTGGGTCCTGATTTCAGCCTGGCCTAGCCCCTGCCTTTGTGGCCATTTGAGGAGTGAACCAGTGAATAGAAGACCTTTCTCTTTGACACTCCCTTTCTCTATCTGTAATTCTGCCTCTCAAAAAAATTTGCAATTCAGGTAGTTCTAGAGTCAACCAAAGAAAGCATGTTTGTTACCCAAAGATATTAATTCTGAGTGACAGCTGTTTGTTTATGTCTGAGTTTTCCTCTTCATTGATTTCTCAGCCTTTATTAGCTCTTCTTCAGCTTATTGAAAAACATCCCAAGTTACTAAGCTAGTGGATGATTTTCTCCTTTGAAGGATTTCCTAATAAATTCCATAGGTTTGTAAAGAACAAAATAAGCTCTCCAGAGGGCCCTGAGTCATGTAGATGCCCATACACTATACTGGCTGTCAATGCTGTGTTTGTTAGGGTACATTTAACTTCTGAAGTTGAGAAAGACTGCTGAGCTTAAAAGACCCGAAACTTCTCAGTAAAAGGATTCTCAAGCAAAGCTGCTGACTGCACTGTTGTTTCTAGAAATCCTCTAACCCTAGCCATTTGAATCTTAAGTGATGAATTAATTTACTGGTAACTTGTATATGCTTTTTTCCCCCAGTGGTTCTGTATGATAAAATTCAATAGTGCACTTACAGATATATGTCTTCAACTCAGAATTTAGTATTTTTATTCAGTCACTGGGCAGTGCATTTAAATTTTGTTGTCTTGGGCATATCACTAGATTTTTTTCTCCAAAAAATGTTAAGATGCCTAATTTTATAGTGTTACAGCAAATTTTTAAAAATGGGGTTGGTTTAATTTTTTTAATATTTTTTCTGCACACAAGTTCAGAGCTTTAAATATCTGGACCAAATTCCTTAGAAAAGGTGCTTATGTGATTTTAATAAAATTTTATGTTATTATTTTTTGACAATGTCTGTTAGTTTCTTCAGGCTACTTTAATGATACAAGTAAGGTCCATGTACTTGAGTAATACTCTGCTGTAATTCCATGACGATATCAGTTGGTGCAGTCACCATTGTCATGTCAGACAAATGACAGATGTCATTAGATTTGTTCCTGATGCCTGGGTCCTGCATCTTATAGCCACATTGCTTCCCCTGCTGGGCTGGGTCTTTGGGGGCTGATGACAATGGGGTAGATGATCCTACTCTTCTCCATTGGTTCTGTAGCAATTGAACTCAGAAAGTGCCCTCTTAAAAAAATGGGGATAGGTGGAGCTTCATGAAGAGTCCTAGGGATACGGCTCTGGCATAGACAACCTCTGTCCAGGATGTTACAATTTGACTTTTTTGCTTTTAGGATCTATAGGAAGCTGTGGATCAGAAAAGGGTCATTTTTCTGATGATGAAGCAATAGATGCTGACAATGAGGATGATGCTGAACCCTGTGACAAAGAAAATGAAAATGCTGGAGAATCATGTGCTGGAACTAATATGGGCTGGGCAGATGCCATGGCTAAAATCCTCAACAAGAAAACGCCTAAAAGTAAACCCACCATTCTAGTCAAAAATAAAGAACTGGAAAAGGAAAAAGAAAAGTTAAAGCAAGAAAGACTTGAGAGAAGAAAACAGGTATGTTCTACCAGTTGTCTTGTAGATTAGATTGTTTGCTTTAGTTCTTACCTATACTAAATTGTTCTTTGCAGTCTTTGTCCAATTAACATTCCAGTTTTTTTTTAATTAAAGATTTTATTTATTTTATTTGAGAGGTAGAGTTACAGACAGTGAGAGGGAGGGGGAGAGGTGTGGGGGGGTGGGTTTTCCTTCCGTTGGTTCACTCCCCAAATGGCCACTGTGGCCGGAGCTGCACCAATCCAAAGCCAGGAGCCAGGCGCTTCTTCCTGGTCTCCCACGTGGGTGAAGGGACCCAAGGACTTGGGCCATCTTCTACTGCTTTCCCAGGCCATAGCAGAGAGCTGGATTGGAAATGGAGCAGCCAGGACTAGAATCGGCGCCCATATGGGATGTCAGTACTGCAGGCAGAGGATTAACCTAGTGCACCATGGCGCTGGCCCCAACATTCCAGTTTTTAATTTGCTTTTCATATAGGGATAGATAGCCAAGGTTATATTCAGAAATTTAAATTAGTTTATTGAGCATGTTCACTTTTTAATTATCTAAGCAAAGCAAGAGAACATAAACTCTAAGTTAATTTATCATTTTTTTTAAAGATTTATTTATTTATTTGAAAAGCAGAGTTACAGAGAGAAAGGGAGAGACAGAAACATAAAGAGAGGTCTTCTGTATACTCGTTCACTCCCCAGATGGCTGGGCCAGGCTGAAGCCAGGAGCCAGGAGCTTCATCTAGGTCTCCCATATGGGTGCAGGGACCCAAGCACTTGGGCCAATCTCTGCTACTTTTCCCAGGCCATTAGTAGGGAGCTGGATGGGAAGTAGAGCAGTGGAGACAGGACTGGTAGCCATATGGGATGCTGGTATCGCAGATGGAGACTTTACCTGCTATACAACAACACCAGCCCTGAAAATTTATCTTTTTGATTTTTTTAAATTTATTTTATTTATTTGAAAGACAGAGTTACAGATTGAGGTAGAGGCAGAGAGAGAGGTCTTCCATCCACAACGGCCGGAGCTGTGCCGATCTGAAGCCAGGAGTCAGGAGCATCTTTCGAGTCTCCCACATGGGTGCAGGGGCCCAAGGACTTGGGCCATCTTCTGTTGCTTTCCCAGGCCATAGCAGAGAGCTAGATTGGAAGAGGAGCAGCTGGGACTAGAACTGGCACCTGCCCATATGGGATGCCTGTGCTTCAGACCAGGGTTTTAACCCACCGTGTCACAGTGCCGGCCCGAAAATTTATCTTTTTAAAATCGGCTAATTAGGGGCCACTGCTATGGCATAATTGGTAAAGCTGCCTCCTGCAGTGCTGGCATTCCTTGATGGGTACTGGTTTGAGTCCTGGCTCTTGCACTTCTGATCCAGCTCCCTGCTAATGTACCTGGGAAAGCAGTAGAAGATGGCCTATGGGCTTGGGTCCCTGCACCCATGAAGGAGACCCAGAAGAAGCTCCTGGCTCCTGGCTGTATATCGTCCTAGATCCTGTTGTTGCAGCCATTTGGAGAGTGAACCAGCAGATGGAAGATTTAGGTCTCTGTCTCTCTCTCTGTAACTCTGCTTTTTAAATAAATTAATTAAAAAAAATCATGCAATTATACATGTAGCAGTAGTTCCTGGGTCTAAATATTTTGTTCATTTTAGCTGTGTGCTGACTTTATTAGGTTCTGAATTAATAGAAGCATGTTAAATTCTTTTATTTCCCTAAAAACCTACTTCATAATATAAATCTGTGAGTATATGACAAGTTGATTCTACAAACTGATTATTTTAATATTTGATAAACTTTATTTGTTATGATTTTTTTAAACCACTGATAATGGAAGTTGGTATAATCATTGAATTAAAGGCTAAACATTAGATGTAAGTTTGCTGTTAAATACTATAAAAATAAACTATGGTAAGGGTTTTATATCCCTTATACTTGATGAAGTATCTGTATATCTGAAATATTTGTTTCCTGAAATAAGTTAAAAAAATGAATTTCAATCAGTATATAGTACTAATTTCTATGAGGCATTTTATAGGTAACAATGAAAGAAAAATAGTTTTGGATTGGCATGTATTTCCTTTATGTTTACTCTTCCCTTGTCTTGTTTGCTTTTAGTACAGATGACTGTATGAAAGGCTACATAAAGGTGGAACTTTTCAAATGTTGCTCATAGAAACATAACATTTTCTATTACTTCAATATTCTCTTTATACTTTATGAAAATTTTTGTCTATAAATCTTACAGCTTGCTGTCCAGCTGAAAATTTGAATCTGTATTATCTGTCAAAAGCTAGAAGAGGCTTTAAAAATACCTGAGTCTTTAATTACCTTTAGTCCCAAAGTTCCAGTGAGGGTAAGAACCATGTTTTGAAACCAAGAAGAATGAGTTTTTAATTTTGTTCTAGGTCAAAGCTATGTTAAAGTTGACACTGTCCACATAATGCGTGTGAACACATGTTGATACCAGAACATGACACAGCATGTATCAGTGCTCCTTATATACATTTTTGAGTAGAATATTCATTAATGCTAAGTATTATAGGTTTCCAGTATATTTGCCACTTATTACAAAAGGAAAAAATACTTTTCAAAATGAAAGATGGTCTGGTATTTAACATACATATTACTCCTTGAGTATTATTGATAATTGACTATTCCAAACTTATAAATCAGATTTGTTTTTTATTTCTGGCATAGTGTGAGTGAATTTTTTGACTGCAAAAATTAATTATCTGGAGAATAATTTATTTTTTTAGAAAGGAATCAGGCTGTATTGTAGTGAGAGCAGCAATTTGGTTTACTGTGATTTCATTTATGAAAAATGAAAGTGAAGGAAATGAAGAGAGAAAAGGTATCATTTCCACTGATCTTTTTTTTTTTTTTTTTTAAGATTTATTTATTTATTTGGTAGGGTTACAGAGAGAGAGAGAAGGAGAGACAGAGAAAGATCTTCCGTCTGCTAGTTTACTCCCTAGATGGCTGCAACATCCAGGGCTGTGCCAGGCAGAACCCGGAAGCCAGGAGCTTCTCTGTCCCACATGGGTGCAGGAGCCCAAGGACTTGGGCCATTCTCCGCTGCCTTCCCAGGCACATCAGCAGGGAGCTGGTTCGGAAGTGGAGCAGCTGGGACTCAAATCAGCACCCATACGAGATTTTGGCACTGCAGGCTGTGGCTGAACCCACTGTGCTGCAACACTGGCTCCTCCACTGGTCTTTATTACCAGTTTTGATGCTATGGAAGCTTAGTAGCTTCTTGGTAATTAGTTCATCATATTAGTACATAATTAAAGAAAATTTTTTTAAAGATGTATTCGAAAGGCAGACACTCTCTCTCTCTCTCTCTCTCTCTCACACACACACACACACACACACACATACACACAGAGAGAGAGAGAGAGAGAGACAGAGAGACTCTTCCATCCACTGGTTCACTCCATAAATGGCCCCAATGGCCAAGGGTGCGCCAGGCCAAAGCCAGGATCCAGGAGCCTCATCGGGGATTCCCATGGGGGTGCCGGGGCCAAGGACTTAGGCTGTCTTCTTCTGCCTTCTCAGGTGAATTAACAGGGAACTGGATAGGAAGTGGTGTCCATACCTGCACTGCAGGCAATGGCTTAACCTGTTATTCCTCAACACTGGCCCCATATTAGTATATTTGATATCTGGTTAAATGTTAGTCTCAAAAGGAGACCTGAATAGTCAGGTGGTTGGGACTAGGATACTATTTGCAGATAATTTTGAATTAGAGAATGTTGTCTTTTGGATCTTATTTCACAGTTTCTCTTCTATTTCTGCATAAAAAGAGGTAATCAGTTAGCAGTCACTTGTGGCTGATAGGACATATATGGCAAAGATATTGGTCATGTGTGCTTCAAGAGGAGAAATGGATTTAAATGATTTTGTGTAAAGAAAAATAGTTGTATAAACATCTAGAAATGATGGTGTTCTTTTAAAAGCTGATACATGTTCTACATTCTTAATGCTGAGGAAGTTAGATTCTGAAAATAAGGAGAAAAAGTATTTATGTCTGTAGTTACCAAAGAAACTGGTGTGGCGTCTTCCTCTGCTTCTCTCATGATTGGTGATGGCAGATCAAGCAGTGGCTCTCTCATACCCTACCTAGTCCTGCCTGGCTGAACATGCTGGCTGCTGTCCAGACCCCTGCTGTCAGAGAACCTGAAAGAAACTCACTTTGTGCTTCTCACATGACACGCTGAGTGCTAACCACAGACTCTCTGAGCTGAAGCCCTAAGACTGTGGGTTTTTTTAAAAGTCTGTATGACAAACTAAACCAGAATGATTTATTACCTTTGTCCTTTCACAGAATATCATATCAAAGTTTGCTGCACTTTCAAAAATGTCTAATGTTCTTTCATATAACAATATTTATAACACAGCTTGATAAGAGGCGGGAGTGGGAAATGATGTGCAGAGTAAAGCCAGATGTTGTCAAAGACAAAGAAGCAGAGAGAAATCTTCAGAGAATTGCAACGAGGTAAGACTGGTTTTGCCCTTTAAAAAATAAATCTAGTAAAGCTTTGATAGTGATCTATATTTTATCAGATTTGATTCTTAAGCTCTGCCTTCTCAGAGCCAAGTGATATATTTCTAAGCCAGCTATTCAACACTGAATTTAACCAAGGATTTTGCAGGTCTCAAGAGGCAAGAATATAATGTGCTAAGTGTATATTTGGTATAAACCTATTTCGGTTTATCTTGTTTTTACAGCTATGAGAACTGTGTAATCAGACCTCTTGCTGCATTTCTCTTATAATAGTTATAAGAATTTATGGCACTAGGTGATTATTTTTATCCTGTATTACATTGATGATATAGCATATTACACGTTATGGCAGCTTCATGCTCTCCTTTTCACTCTTGTCCTTTTAAAAAATTTTTTTTAAATCATTGGCACCAAACATTTATTTCGTGTCTTCTGTGTCCAGAGATAAATAGGATATGGTAGCTGCTAGGTAGTCCTTTGCCAAATCATCTGTAGGTAGTAATCTTTTTTGAAGACAGAGGCATATTCTATGTGTTAGGAATATACAACAGGAGATTGTCTGGGAGAGTTGGGGAAGGCTTCACATTTAAATTGCTATTTAAAAATACAGCAGTTATATCTAATAGAATTACTTTTAAATTCTTAGCTACCTAAGTTATTTTGATCATTTTTTAATCCATCAGAATGTTACATAATGAGATAGTGTGGTGTGGTGATTAAGGGCATGGGTGACAGGGTCAGACTCTTAGGTTGAGATCTCAACAGTGTTACTAGCTGTGATTTCTTGGACAGGCTACTTACTTTCTCTCTGTCTCAGTTTACTTGTAAAGAGAGGATAATGGTATACCAGCTCATAGGTGCTCTCTGAGAATTAAATGAATTAATACGTATGATGAACTTGGAAAAATGCAGGGTCAGGACATGACAGTGAGTTCCTTCTTAAATTTATATCCCAGCACCTCACTTGTTTCACCCTGGTCCTGGTGTGAAATGTGTAGAATTTTATTGTTCTTAAAAAACTAATAAGCTAGCCTGCTAAAGTATTTTGAATGCTGTAGATATAAGAGACTTTTGGGTCAGAGACAAAGGACTTTATTACTCATGGCAAAAGCAGTAGCCAGAGCTCACATTCCCATTGGTTCCCATTGTCCCACAGAGGCAGTGCAGGTGCCCTAGATGGATGCCTGCACATACAGTGGGTAATGCTACAGGAAAGGAACACTGCGTTGAGGAATCTATCACTATTTTAAAAAATATTTTTATTTATTTATTTGATAGAGTGATAGAAACAGGGAGAAAGAGAGAGAGATTGAGATTGATTTTTCCCTCCACTGGTTCCCTTCCCAGATGCCTACAAGAGCTAAAGTTAGACCAGGCCAAAGTCAGGAGTCAGGAACTCCCGTAGATTAAGGGTCTCCCATGTGGATGACAGGAACCCAAGGACTTGGGCCATTGTCTGCTACTTCCCAAGCAGATTACCAGGGATCTGGATGGGAAGCATGGAGTAGCTGAGATTCAAGCCAGCACTCTGTTATAGGATGTGGGCATCCCAAGCAGAGGCTTAACCAGCTGCACCACAATGCCCACCTCAGATCTATCACTTTTATAGTGATTAATAAAAAAACTGTTCCTTGTCTGGAAAGAGATATTACTTTGTCCCTCAATGTTATGCACTGCAAACATAGCTCTGAGAGATGGCCAGGGTAAAGAGCAGTTTGGGCTTTCATTCATGAGAACCCAGCAAGAACAAGTAGGAATGCTGACAGTTGTTACAAGATAATCCGTAGATTAAAGAATTTTAGGGCTAGAAAGAATCTTAATGGCCTTATTGAGTGCTGTCCAGTAGAAATATAAAGTGAACTACATATATAGTTTAAAATTTTCTCAAGATATGTGTTGTGGTGCCATGTGTTAAGCCAGCACTTGCAATTCCCATGTCCTATATCTGAGCTGGTTTGAGTCCTGGCTATTCTGCTTCCAATCCAGCTCCCTGCTAATGTTCCAGGGAAGCAGCAAATGATGGATTGAGTACTTGAGTTCCTGGCATGCATGTGAAAGACCCAAATGGAGTTTCTGGCTCCTGACTTCAGCCTGGCCCAGTCCTGCCTGTTGTGGGCATTTGCATTGTGAACCAGTGGATAGAAAAATCTCTCTGTTAATGTGTCTTTCATATAAGTAAATCCTTAAAAACTTTTCTCTCATAGCCTCATTGAAACAAGTAAAATAGGTGAAATTAATTTCAATAATATATTTTTATTTAACTCATTATATTTAAAAAATGCTGTTTTAACATGTACTTGGAATAAACGTTATTAATGAGAATTAAAGATTCTCTTTTTTGTATTAAGTCTGTGAAATCCAGGGTGTATTTACATTGATAGCCCATGGCAATTCATGCATTGCAAGTGCTTGCTGGCCATATGTGGCTTATAGCTCTTGTACTGGGCACTGCGGGTCTTGATTTTCAGAATTCATCTTTGGCTGAACTAACATATATAGAACAAAGCTTTAAAAATAAATGTCTTTAAAAAGTAGCATTTTAAAGTTAGTTTTATAGCAGAAAGAGTTGTAGGTATTTTTCTGATTTACAGATGAAATTGAAACCTATCCAGCAGATGGGAGTTCAATGCTGAGACAACTAACTGTAAAGACTGTGGTTTTTCTATTACATTGCAATGCTTTCAGCCATTGTATAATTAATTATATTTTGAGAATCGGATATTTGTGTTCAAAATAATTCTCAGTTCTAAATGCACAAAAATTAATTTAGACCAAAGCTGTGAAAAATACATATAACAGTGCACATATGTTTATTTTATTTTCAAAAAGTTATTTTCATTCATTGAAATGTGTGTTCATTTTTCTGATGTATTTAACCATTTAGCGCTTTTGTTTGGTTGCCTGTTAAGTGTTTGCTCTTTTTCAGTTAGTGAACATATACTGTTCCTACACTCATAGAGTTTATATTTCAGCATAATTGTTTAACAACATTTTTCTGGTCACTTTATGTTCCTTAGGGGTGTGGTGCAATTATTTAATGCTGTCCAAAAACATCAAAAGAATGTTGATGAAAAGGTTAAAGAAGCTGGAGGTTCTATTAGAAAGCGTGCTAAATTGATATCAACTGTTTCTAAGAAAGATTTCATCAGTGTTTTGAGAGGAATGGATGGAACTGCAAATGAGAAAAGTTCAACTGAGAAGAACTCAAAAGCCAAACAGGTAACACTTTTATGTAGGGTTCAGTGCGTTAACCTTTTTAGCTCTAAAACTAAAGTTTTGAGATGGAAAACCACACTATGGAATTACATAGTTTTAGATTTTATGAAAATCCCTGTTTGTATGCAGCATAATTTAATTTAATTTTGGGATTCTTTAGTTTCATAATGGTTTTACTAAGAATGGAAGTTGCCAATTATTAAGACCCTGCTGTTAGAACTCAAAAACCAAATAGAATCAGGTAAATCCTTCAGAAGGAGGTCTTATATCTCTCCTATCTGAAATTCTACCATTTGTGCATTTTGTAGACTAGATGCCAAAATCAGGGCTATGGCTTCAACTTGAGACTTTCACTCACAGAAATAATTATGATGGTATATGATTCCTAAAATGTGAAACGTTAGAGCTTTAGGAAATAATGGTAGCAAATCATCCTTACTGATAGTTGGCTGATTGACAGATTAAGAACCTAAATTCTTTTCATGATTTTATAGACTTCCATTACAGCCTTTTTGACCTGTGGACCTGAAGTGTTTGTTTGTTTGTTTTTGTTTTGTTTTTAATTTAATGTACCAAAGAAAGCCTGAAATGTCTTTTAATGTCATAGTGTTTTTTTGAGTTTTGAGTTTTTTCTTTTTTTTTTCTTTTTTTTGTAAATTAAAGTACATAGTTGTATTTTATGCCTTGATTTCCATTGCCAACAAAAAGTACTTTATACAGTCAGGAGACAAGAGTGTCTTGAAGCTGGCGCCGCGGCTCACTAGGCTAATCCTCCGCCTTGCGGCGCCAGCACACCAGGTTCTAGTCCCAGTCGGGGCACCGGATTCTGTCCCAGTTGCCCCTCTTCCAGGCCAGCTCTCTGCTGTGGCCCGGAAGTGCAGTGGAGGATGGCCCAAGTGCTTGGGCCCTGCACCCCATGGGAGACCAGGATAAGTACCTGGCTCCTGCCATCGGATCAGCGAGGTGCGCTGGCCACAGCGCGGCGGCCATTGGAGGGTGAACCAACGGCAAAGGAAGACCTTTCTCTCTCTCTCTCTCTCACTGTCCACTCTGCCTGTCAAAAAAAAAAAAAAAAAAAAGTCTTGAAATTTTTGTTTTGTTTTGAGAAAACAGTTGAAGCTATGGCAAGAAGAGCATTTAGGAATTTCTTGCTAGTCTAGGGCTGAAACATTTTTTCAAGTTCCTTTACCTAATCTAAAATTTTTTTTTTGCTTGACACATAATAATTATACATATTTATGAGGTATGATGTGATAATTAAATGCATGTGTACTTTGGGTAATGATCAAATTGAGGTACTTAGTATATCCATTACCCTAAACTTTTGTCATTTTATTTTTTATGGTGAGTACAGTAAAAATCATCTCTTGAAGCTATTTTAAGGTATACAATGCCTTGTTGTTAACTGTAGTCATCCTAGTATGCCATGGAAGAGCAATTGTGTATATATACCACATTTTCTTTACCCGTGTGTCTATTGATGAACATTTAGGTTGATTCCATATCTTGGTTACTGTAAACAGTGCTGCAATAAATATGGGCATGCAGATATCTGTTCAATATACTGATTTCATTTCCTTTGGTTATATGCCAAGTAGTCAGATTGTGGTCATCTTGTAGTTCTATTTTTAGTTTTCCAAGAAACCTTCATACTGTTAGAATTGGATTATCAAAAAACACAAAAACATTCCTACAAGCAGCATATATGAGTTTCTCTTTCTCCTTATGCCTGTCAGCATTTGCTGTTTTTTGTGTTTTTATGATACTACTTAGTGCAGCAATTACAGAAAGCAGTATAGGGAGAGTTCATTTTGCCTCATTCTTTTTTTTTTTTTTTACGATTTATATATTTATTTGAAAGGCAGAGTGACAGAGGCAGAGGGGGGGAGAAAGACAGAGAGAGTGAGAGCGCCATATTCCATTCGCTGGTTCGCTCCCCAGATGACTGCAACTCAGGAGCCAGGAGCTTCTTCTGGGTCTCCAGCAAGGGTGCAGAGACTCAAGTTCTTGAGCCATGTTTCCGAGGTGCGTTAGGGAGCTGGATTGGAAGTGGAGAAGCCGGGACTCAAACTGACACCCATATGGGATCCTGGTACTGTAGTTGGCAGCTTAACCTGCTGTGTCACAGTGCCAGCCCCCATTTTGCCTAATTCTAATGAAAGTTTTCTAATCTGCTTAAGCTTACCTTTCTCTTGAGTATCTAAGGACTCAAATTGCGTATTTAATAATGGCTCTCACTACTGCTGCTGTTTTAAAGTGTCTCATAAGTGATTATAAATACATGGATACTATTTTTGGAGAATTATACTTTCTGTTGTAGGAATTTGGGAAAGATTTGGCACCATTAGATGAGGAAGAACTAGTGCAATCATGGATACTAAAGATTTTTGTTTTGTTTTTAAAATGACATATTGGAAACATTTTTGCTTTGTGATTATTTCTGTCATGAGTAATGGAAATTTATGAAGCGTCTTTCCAGTGGCATTATTGCATTTTCCTGTTTGACCATTTGTACCATTTGCACTTGCCTTTGACTTTCTTTTTTTATACCTCAGTGATCATGGGTACAATAATAAACTAGGACCAGTGAAAAATTGTTTGATACTCAAAACAGAGTAGCTTTGTTCCAAAAGCAATTTGTGTCTAGAACCACCAACCCTATGCAGCCAATACCCTGGGGTATTTCTTTCTTGTAAAAATGTTTACATTTCCTCCTGGGAGACCAGGAGGAAGCACCCGGCTCCTGGCGTCAGATCAGCTCGGCACGCCGGCCGCAGCATGCTGGCCAAAGCAGCCATTTCGGGGGTGAACCAACGGAAGGAAGACCTTTTTCTCTCTTTCTTTCACTGTCTAACTCTGCCTGTCAAAAAAAAAAAAAAAAAAAAAGTTTACATTTTGATTTTGTACTTAAGGAAAAATAAACAATCCTTTTTTTAAAAAAAGTTGTGTTTTAGTTTACATCTGAACAACAAAAAGTACTATGTGATTGAAACAGTTAATGATCTAAGAAGTGTTAAGTGTCCCTTGTATCTTTTAAAGTTTTACAATTTAGATAAATGATTTCAACTAAATAAGTAGATAAAATTTACTTGACATTTAGAAAAATCTAGATTGGTATGTCTAAATGACATTTTAACATGAGTTACACTACATAAAATTCAAATTAGGTGGCTAACTGTATATGGGGCCAATTTCAAAAAAACTAATAATATTGATTACAAGCATAGATAAGTACATTTATGTATGCTTGAATTAGATGAATTTTTCAGGCAGTATTAAGTAAGTAGAGAATAACATTTATCTTTTTTTTCCTCCTATTTTCCCCTACCCTTGTACTGTGAGTAGAAGAGGCTGTTGCCCTCAGCATAGTATTACAGAAGAACTCAGGAAAGTTGCTTTTTTCATTTCTGTGGACTGATTATATTCAGAGCACAGGGTTTTTTCCAGTGCTTCTAATACTACAAAGTCTCTAAAGACAGAGTTCATGCAGATGTAAACTGGATTCAAAGTAAAGCTGAATAGAGTTGTAGTATCATTACAGTTTATGGAAGTTGGATACATTGTAGGTAATACTTTAGAGTGCTTTTTTTGTACTTTTTACTTGTAATGAACACTGACTTGGAAATTTAAAATAAATACTTTTTAAAGAGTTTTCATAGGAATTTCATATTCGTTCAAGGTGTAAGAGACTTTAAAACATGACAAATGTTTTACTGTGATGGTCTGAACAAGTCATTTTTCTCAGACTCTTTCTACATTAGAATATATTAAGTTTTATTTTCCTGATATTTACTCCTATTTCTTAAATAATATTTATATTATGTTTTTATCAATACTAGGTATTTTTGAGCCGGCGCTGTGGCTCCCTTGGTTAATCCTCCGCCTTGCAGTGCCGGCATCCCATATGGGCACCGGGTTCCAGTCCCGGTTGCTCCTCTTCCAATCCAGCTCTCTGCTGTGGCCCGGGAAGGCAGTGGAGGATGGCCCAAATGCTTGGGCCCCTGCACCCTTATGGGAGACCAGGAGGAAGCACCTGGCTCCTGGCTTCTGATCGCTGCAGCGCCGGCCGTAGCAGCCATTTGGGGAGTGAACCAATGGAAGGAAGACCTTTCTCTCTGTTTCTCTCTCTCTCACTGTCTATAACTTTACCAAATAAATAAATACAAAATACAAAATAAAAATAAAAAAAGGAAGGCAGACTGAAGAAAGCTGAATGTTTTAAAAAATACTAGATATTATATTTTTATGTATTTATTTATTTAAATGACAGAATTATAGACAGAGAATAATAAGAGAGCTTACATCTGCTGATTCATTCCTCAAATGTCCACAATAGCCAGGTTTGGGCCAGGCCAATGCCGGAACCAGGACCTCCATCCTGATCTCCCACATCCATGTGGGTGTAGTGGCTCAAGCATTTAGGCTGTCTTCTGCCGCCTTCCCGTTAGCAGGGAGCTGGATTGGAAGACAAGCAGCCAGAGCTGGAACCAGCTCTCCAGTATGGGATACCGGCATCGCATTTGGGGGATTAATGTTTACTTTCTTTGATTTATTTTCTTACAGTTTTTCTGGAGTTAACACTAAGCCTCTTCTCATTTGCTTGGTTATTTATACAAGGTCTTTCCATACTCTTCAAAAAACACTGTTAAACCTTTCTTTGGAATGTTTACCTTGTCCTGTAGTGGTCTAGACTGGTTGTTCTTTATTTGCTGTGCACTGTCTTTCTGCAGTATTGCTTTATTCCCGTCCTGGGAATTTCGTTTGCTACTCCGTTGTGTAGTGGTATTTGTTTCTTGGACAAATGTCCTCTTTATTCTTAGCTTTATCCCACATTTTGGTAGTGATATCAGAAAGCATGTAAGTATTTTTTTATTATATAGTTGTCTGATATATCACTTCCCAAATGGTATATAAATGTCCTAATTCCTGAAAGTTAATGAGTGTATGTTACTTGGTAAAAGTAGTTCTTCAGATATAATTCTGTTAACGATCTTGATACCCAG